CCAATAAAAAATTGGGAAACGCAAAGGTAAAAGACAACCAATTAAACTCCACAGGTAAGAAAGAGCACAAGTTATCAGGGCAGCCTGGGATTCCACGCAAACCGTCAACTACCATTCCAACTTCCCCGTTTTTCCCAATTTCGAGTTCTCCTCTCCACGCCACTCTCAAAGGGACCACAAACCAGAACAGGGCATCCTTTTCCTCTTTAATGCCCGACAGAACTCTCCGTCGACGGCTTCACGGTGGACGGCGGTTACGGCCGCCCCACCCTTCCCAGTCCCCCAGGCAGCGGACGCCTCCTCCGCATCGGCGATCCACCAAACAGTCCAAGCCTCTTAAGATACTGAAACGAAGTTCTTCAGAGCCCTACCTCTGGAGTGGTGTTAGCGTCGAAGATCGGCACAGGAGTTTGGAGTCTTCCGGCATCCTGTTTCGGCCTCATACTTTCACAGACGTTTTCGCATCTTCTCATTCTCTTTCCGGTCTTGCTTCTTCATCTTCATCTTCTCAGCTGAGTTTTGAGGTACCGTCAATCCCGATGCACTAATTCCTTGCTTACAATTACTTGTCTGTTTGGGTTTTGAATTTTTGAAAATTCTTGATCTGTACACAAACTCCTTTGACTAACAAGATTTTATTTAGTAAAATTACATATTTGGCTTCTTCCTAATTTTAGATTTTAGTATCAATTTTAACTTCATTATCAAAAAAAATTGAGAAGAAATTAACGTTTATTTTCATAAAATTGAAACATAATTAGTCTGTTTTCTTTTCATTCCAATTAAACTCAAATTAGAATTGGGATTTTTTTCTTCCTTATACATCGAAAGAGAGTTAGTTGTTTGGCATTATGGAAATTTTAACTCTAATCAAGACTTTTAAATTAATGGATACGAATTCGGTCAAGTTCTTGTAGGTGGTGTGGGAATTTCATGGTTTTCTCAATCCTGTTAATTATAAACAAAGTCATCCTGTAATTAGAGACAAAATTGAGAAGTTTAGTACTGCAAAAATTTGGGATGCAGGGGCCTGGATATAATAAAGATGCCAAGGTAGTTATCAATGTATCAGTTGAAGGAAGTCCAGGACCAGTCCGGACCATGGTTAAATTGGGATGCACTGTGGAACAGACTATAAAGCTTGTTGTCAATAAGTATGCAGAAGAAGGGCGCTCTCCCAAACTAGATCACAACTTTACTTTTGAATTGCATCAGTCCTACTTTAGCCTCCAATGTAAGTGAAGGAAAGTCTCAATCTTTCTATTGATTTTGGGTTTTGAAGGTGGTGAATTTTATTGATTCTCGATCTTCTGTTATATATATATATATATATGGTCGGGTAGGTTTGGATAAATCAGAGTTGATTGGGGATGCTGTCAGCAGAAGCTTTTATCTAAGGAAGAGTGACAGTGGTCATAGTAACAATGGGGAATTGAATTCCTTCATTAATTCAGCGAGTGCAAGCTCTCCGGCAGCCATTCCACCACCGATATATTTTCTCACAACCTTCATAACTCGGAAGCTCAATAAAATAGTAAGAATGACACGGAGGCTATGGAAGGTCCTGGTTTGCAGCCAGTGAGGCTTGGAATTTACATCATTCTGCATATACCAATGCCATTGTTGGAGTGAGCAATTTATTATTATGCTACTCTAACAGTAATCCCAATTATTGTTATTTCACATCATACAATGACGGAAAATGTAAGATATTACGTTGATTATTTCTAATTGTTTTCTCAATTATTAAGTGAAAAATGGAAAAGAATCATTTATTATAAAATTGTTGTTTAATTTTGTTGGAGAAGTAAAGTTTTAATCTTTGACGTTTTGCTTGTGTTGGTGTACGATGGGCGGAGGCAAGGTAGGTCATTCTTTGGCTTTTGGTGTAGGCAGGACGTGGTCTGAATAAAAGCATTTTATGGGTCGGCAGAAAAGTGACCCAAAACGTGGTCGGCGCCAGTGAATTAGACTGCTAAATTTTTTACTCCGTTTTTTTTTTTTTTTCTTTGGTACAAAGGGAATTGTGGGTAAGGGGAAGGGGCAATAGAGACAATAGGACTCGAAGTCTAATGGCGTTGGTGAAAAACTCATACAGTGGTCACATAAGTCGTATACCAAAATTATTATGACCAAGACATATACCGAGATTATTCTTTACTATATATTTTCGTTGGCGACTATGGGGAAATGACATAATTGTTTCTTTAATCTTAGGAAAATACATAAAATTAGAAAATGAAATAATATATATAACAAAGTTAGGCCCAAAGTTGCACCTAGTCTTTTTGACTGAATGACTATATATCATGTTATAAATGCATTTTTAGTCTAAGAGTTGAATTTCAAATCTCTCACCCCCAAAGTTATAATCATTAATCAACGAGGGGTTGGATCAAGTCTTAAGCGGTTTGTTTCAGCTTAAGTAAGGTTTCGAGTTCGAGTCCTTGCGTACGCAGCGGCTTTCGTTGGGAGACTCACTCACTATTTTCAGGTGCGCGACCCGAGTCGGGTCCGAATTAGTTGGGGCGAAGCCCCAGATACTGGGCGGAGCCCCAGATACTGGGCGGAAAACAGAAAAAAAGTTATAATCATTAAAAAAAAAAATTAGGTCAAAGGTTTAAATTAAACTAGCAGACAAGAGAATTAATTTTTTTAAATGAATTATTTAATATTAGAATATGTCTTTAAAATTAATGTAAAAAAATTAATATTAAAATACATAAAAAAAATTAATATTAAAATACATAAAAAAAAAAATTAAGGACACTATAGTCATGAACAAGAGAAAAAGACAAAAAGAAACATATGTGCATGACAGGAGCTTAATAAGGCCCCGACCTCTGCATTGGTGCCTTAACGGTCAAGTATGAAAAGCTACTTTTGGCCTAACTATTAACATCGTGCATTTCATTATCATACACTCCCATCACTCAATTTTAATATATTTAATTAAAATTTTTAATTTTTTAAAGGTTAAATACCCTTTTTGGTCCCTCTACTATAGGAAAAAGCCCCTTTTT